TTAAAAGTTAAAAAAAAAAAAAAAAAGTTCTATAATGATACGTACGTCCGCCGGCGGATTCCAAGGCACATAAATTTCGTTCCAAACTGACTTTTTGTTTTGATTTGTTTCGGTTTTGCCGGAAGGCGCATGATACAGGGGATAAGTTTGTTACGTAGGATTTGAAAATGGAAGTTTGAAAGGGACTCGGTAGTGAAGCCATAAAATTTTTTTCCTTCTTTGTTGGCGTGCCCAAAATGCAACTATATTATACTGTGCATTGATCAAATAGTATAGTGTACAATTAGCTGTCATATAGGTGAGTAGGTGAAAGAAGACCGTCAAGTAAAAAATTTTTAAAAAGGGGGGAAAAAAGGGAAAATGTTTGTTTTTGTGAATAATAATAATAAGTAGTAAAATAATTTCAACTACCACATCTATAAAATAATTGCAGAAGTATACGAATATAACAAATTCATTTCAATGTCTATTTATTAATGTAAAATTTAACTTTATAAATTGGATGGTAAATATATAATAAATAAAAGATAATTTCAAACACTTAAATGATTTGGGAGAAGAGTTGCAAGGTATGAAGATTTGAGCGACTAGTTTTAAGCATAATGATTTGGGAGATAACTCAAATTTGGAAAGAATTGGGGGAATAAAATCAAATATGAAAGAGTTTAGGGATTAGTATGGAAAAAAGATTCATACACCTATCCCTCTTTGTGAAAATGTTCTATAAAATAATTCCCCGTTTATATATAGTGTCTTAGAACTCTCCTTTCGCATAAATTATTTCAGAACTAAATTAGTTCTGAATCTATGAGGTTGTTTCGTTGACAAGTGAGAGAGCAGCAACAATAAATGTAACAAACCTCTAATAATAGCGTCTAATTAAATCATAGTACGTATTAGATTTTTATTTTGTAGATATAGGAAAAAAGCTACATCATCTTTGTTGTAGCTTTGTTCACACAAATTACTAATAATAGTTTCCAATTTAATCATATTCAGATATTTATTTTTTTTTAAAGGAAAAAGCTGCGTTATTTTGCTGTAACTAACTTGATTGTAACAGATGTTACAAATCCTTACCTTATAGTTTAAGAAGTAACGTCACGTTATCAATTAAAATAAACCATGTTGATCATTTGCAATTTCAAATAAATGAACGCTTTGATTTGCAATTAAATGATTTTTTTTTGCAATAAAATATGCAAATCTAAATATTTTTGTAATTAACCAAACACTGTAATTGGATTTGAAAATAATGTTCCTGCGATGGGAAAATATAGATGTCCGATGACAGGTTTAAGCTTAATTTCTGCAGCAAATGTTGTAGAAATGACAGGAACAGGCTTACTGGGCAGCAGATTGGGTGGCGGTCGACCGGCCCGGTCGACCGCGTTCGTGCACAAGACTCAGTGGGCATCAGGATTGGTGGCGGTCAACCGACGCGGTCGACCGAAGATGGTAGCGGTCGACCGGCGCGGTCGACCACCGAACTCGCCGAAGTGGTTTTGGGTTGGGTTTGTTTTTCAGACCCGTTTCGTTTGGGTTTTCTATAAATACCCAAACTTGGTTTTAGGGTTTGTAAGCAAGGGGTTTTAGCAGCCATTGAGGGTGAGTTATTGGGCTTCTATTGTTGGAGCAATTGGGAGAGATCAAGAGTGACTTGTTGTGGGTTTTTGGGTGAGAGATTTGTAACTCTAGTTGTATCCTCTTGTTTCTAATAGTGAAAAACTCCCCTCTCCTTGCCCTGTGGACGTAGGCATCTTGCCGAACCACGTAAAACTGGTGTTAGTGATTGTTTGTGCTTGTTGGTGTGTTGGTTTATCTTTTCTTGGCGATTGGTTTGGATTCTCGAGGCGCAACAAGTGGTATCAGAGCTCCGGGCAACGCTTGGGCTTTTTGGAGGTATAGATCAGTTGGGAAGTTCATCTAGAGCTTCGATTGGTGATAAAGGTGGGATCTTTGTGGTAAAGTTTCTATCTTTTTCAAGTTGGATCTATTTCCTATTTGTTCCGTAATTGTTTCAAGTTAATGCACGTATTTAACTGTGTCTAGTCGTTTGTTAATTTTAGTGAAAACAATTTTCCCTTCCTTCTATATATCCAATCATCTTCTTTTATTTTCCTTCCTTCTATATATCCAAACCGAACAAAGCCTTTGTGTTTCTTAATTATAAAATTCCTATCACCTCGTTTGGTGAAAACATTTTCCCCTTCATACCCGTTGTGGGCTTCACTATTCCGAAATGGCTTGCATGCATACATTGTTTATTCAAAGTTTATGGCTGCGTTCCAGGTTTTCAATATTCCTCCCAATAACTATCTAACACTTTAGACCATACGTACTTACGTTGCTTGATCGCTCCTTTCCTCTTAAACTTGCACAACATAAACAGCAGGAGTTTAAATTTTATGTCTGTTAACTTTGATTTCTAAGCCTTTTGGGCCCATCTCTCCTTTTGTATTGCAAAACTACTGCCCCCATTAGCGACATTATACTTGATGCTGGGTTTCGTTCCTTCGTGAATGCGGGAATGGCCAAGTTGGTCTTAGCCTCAACGGTGAAGGCCTTTTCTTGCATGAGCTCTCTGGTTCGCCTCTCTGCTCTTATTTTTTGCCGAAACTTTTGACTCCTTTTACGGTGCCTCTGTTAATTCCTACTTCATCAGGTTTGTCCAGCCTCTTTGCCCACCAACCAACTATTTTGGCCTCTCATTAAAGTTTTTAGCCTTTTGGCTATCTTAAGGCTTTGACCTTCTCTTCTGTCTCTAGGGCTAAGGAGAGTTTTGTATTTTTATTAAAAAAAGCTAATTTGAATAGGATAAAGGGTGTTGCTACAAGGATCCAAATAGGGGACCTAGTGCATGGGACAGGTGAGGTGTCACTGGTTGCATGATGCACTGTTTGAACAGTGCATCATGCAACCGGATAGTGACACCTCACATGTCCCATGCCTTGGGTCCCTAATTTGGGTCCATGAGTCATTAATGTAGGATAAATTTGAGAAAAATTCTGGCCTTGAGAGTCCCAAAAAAGAACTCATTCTAAGATTTCTAACCCTAGAAAAAAACAAACTTTCCTTTATTCCATAACCTTCCCTGGAGGCCTTGTAGACTGATTTTTTACATTTTTTATGGCTGTGAATTTTTCTAAGAAAATCTACATAGGGTGGATGTTAACACAATATACACTTTCAGGATTAGGGGCTCTGAGGGTCCAAATTTCATACTAAGAAGCTATCATCTTGGAGAAAATTCTCAGAAACTAGCAGCATCATCACTCATCATTTATTAAGAAAGATGGTACATAGTGTTATGGAGTTCAGTCAAGATTGTGTGCGCTTTATTTTTTCTGTTTTGTTGTACTAATTATCTTTGTTCCGATAATTCCTATGACATCATTCCAAGTTAATGCACGTATTTAACTGTGTCTAGTCGTTTGTTAATTTTAGTGAAAACAATTTTCCCTTCCTTCTATATATCCAATCATCTTCTTTTATTTTCCTTCCTTCTATATATCCAAACCGAACAAAGCCTTTGTGTTTCTTAATTATAAAATTCCTATCACCTCGTTTGGTGAAAACATTTTCCCCTTCATACCCGTTGTGGGCTTCACTATTCCGAAATGGCTTGCATGCATACATTGTTTATTCAAAGTTTATGGCTGCGTTCCAGGTTTTCAATATTCCTCCCAATAACTATCTAACACTTTAGACCATACGTACTTACGTTGCTTGATCGCTCCTTTCCTCTTAAACTTGCACAACATAAACAGCAGGAGTTTAAATTTTATGTCTGTTAACTTTGATTTCTAAGCCTTTTGGGCCCATCTCTCCTTTTGTATTGCAAAACTACTGCCCCCATTAGCGACATTATACTTGATGCTGGGTTTCGTTCCTTCGTGAATGCGGGAATGGCCAAGTTGGTCTTAGCCTCAACGGTGAAGGCCTTTTCTTGCATGAGCTCTCTGGTTCGCCTCTCTGCTCTTATTTTTTGCCGAAACTTTTGACTCCTTTTACGGTGCCTCTGTTAATTCCTACTTCATCAGGTTTGTCCAGCCTCTTTGCCCACCAACCAACTATTTTGGCCTCTCATTAAAGTTTTTAGCCTTTTGGCTATCTTAAGGCTTTGACCTTCTCTTCTGTCTCTAGGGCTAAGGAGAGTTTTGTATTTTTATTAAAAAAAGCTAATTTGAATAGGATAAAGGGTGTTGCTACAAGGATCCAAATAGGGGACCTAGTGCATGGGACAGGTGAGGTGTCACTGGTTGCATGATGCACTGTTTGAACAGTGCATCATGCAACCGGATAGTGACACCTCACATGTCCCATGCCTTGGGTCCCTAATTTGGGTCCATGAGTCATTAATGTAGGATAAATTTGAGAAAAATTCTGGCCTTGAGAGTCCCAAAAAAGAACTCATTCTAAGATTTCTAACCCTAGAAAAAAACAAACTTTCCTTTATTCCATAACCTTCCCTGGAGGCCTTGTAGACTGATTTTTTACATTTTTTATGGCTGTGAATTTTTCTAAGAAAATCTACATAGGGTGGATGTTAACACAATATACACTTTCAGGATTAGGGGCTCTGAGGGTCCAAATTTCATACTAAGAAGCTATCATCTTGGAGAAAATTCTCAGAAACTAGCAGCATCATCACTCATCATTTATTAAGAAAGATGGTACATAGTGTTATGGAGTTCAGTCAAGATTGTGTGCGCTTTATTTTTTCTGTTTTGTTGTACTAATTATCTTTGTTCCGATAATTCCTATGACATCATTCCAAGTTAATGCACGTATTTAACTGTGTCTAGTCGTTTGTTAATTTTAGTGAAAACAATTTTCCCTTCCTTCTATATATCCAATCATCTTCTTTTATTTTCCTTCCTTCTATATATCCAAACCGAACAAAGCCTTTGTGTTTCTTAATTATAAA